GAAAAAGAACAGGAGAGTGAAATTAGTTCAACCAAAAAAAAAAAAATATATATATATATATATATAGTTCAACGGTCCAGCTCTCTTTAGTGGTCCCACCTACGGAAAATTGCATCACATTTTTATTTTTGTGGGGCCCAATTCCAATGGCTAGCGTACCAAGTACGTGTAAATGGCCATGTCTAGTTGGAAGAAGTAATTTGATGCTATGAAAAGTTCTACGGTAGAGACAATTCCAAGGTTTGACAATTGTGCAACGACTGGAAATGCCATATAGCATAGAGAGCATTTATAATGGCTGAGAAACGGCCAATATTTGTGGGCAAACTGAAGACTTCAACATCAAAAACGAATATTAGGTTTCAATATGATCTAGTTATAATGATTTAAGGGTTTTTTTCTTCTTTCACTTCCTAAATTTTTAGTACTGAGCTCGTTTGAATTTGTAATTTTGATAAACTATTGTTTTTTATTTAATAAATTATTGTATAGTGTTTTTAAGTCCGCGAATAATGTTTGAAATTTAAAAGATAACATTTTCGTACATGTATATTGTTAACGGTGAAAATTCATCCAACAAAATAATCGAATGAGACAATTACAGAGCCGATCAACTCGGTGAGAGAGACAGGTAACTGGATTCAAGAAAAAGTAAAAGAAAACAAACATGAGAATTTATATTCCTCAAGATAGAGGATGATTTTACTATCAGGGCACGAGAACTTTTTTGCCAAGAACTAGATTTAGGGTTTCCACGCAGGGTCATTTAGTGCTTCATCTTCTTAGTGCTGCATCCTTCACTGCTGTTCACACTTGCTTGGTTTGGCACTTGAGGTAATATTTGCATCGTTTGAGATACTACTTATACTATAAAAATTACCAACTTTTTGTATAACTCATGACTATTACCTCCTGCAACGCGCGGGTAAACGGTTAGTATACTTCTAAAAAGAACAAACCACAAATATATACCACATGGGATATAAAAAATGTTATGAGATTATTAGAAATGTGACTCTTTACTATCTATTCATAAAAGCGCCTCACCGAACAACAATTTCGGGTTGGATTAGCCACCTAGTAGCGATGGAAAGTAGACTGATTGGATTGATTTACTCGGTCGGATTATAACATTGATTACTCGTTCGATTTCTTGGCACTTTTGGATTAAGAAGATAAAAAGAAAAGTAGAAAAAAATAGAGATGGACCTTTATTCTTTATTATTGATAAATATTTTTTTATTAGTATAATTTTTTGACTAAAAAAATTATGAATTAAAAATATAAAGGTTGTGTTTGGAGTTGTTTTAATTTTTATTTTTCATGTTTTTCGAGAAAAAAATGAAAATGAGAGAAAAATGACGTTTGGCACAATTAAAAATAAAAAATAGAAATGAAAATAATTTTTTGGTTTAGTATAAAATGAGAGATAAATAAAAAAATATCTTTTAGTCGTTTTTCATTTTTTGTTTATGTTTTCTCCTGTCTCGAGTAGAGAAAGAGATATTAATAAATTTTTTTATACTGAAAATAATCTTTTAATAAAATTACTAAACTCATTTTTAAAAATAATTTCTATTTAAGATTGAAATTATTTTTAGGGATATAAAAAATGTTATGAGATTATTAGAAATGTGACTCTTTACTATCTATTCATAAAAGCGCCTCACCGAACAACAATTTCGGGTGGGATTAGCCACCTAGTAGCGATGGAAAGTAGACTGATTGGATTGATTTACTCGGTCGGATTATAACATTGATTACTCTTTCGATTTCTTGGCACTTTTGGATTAAGAAGATAAAAAGAAAAGTAGAAAAAAATAGAGATGGACCTTTACTCTTTATTATTGATAAATATTCTTTTATTAGTATAATTATTTGACTAAAAAAATTATGAATTAAAAATAAAAGATAAAGGTTGTGTTTGGAGTTGTTTTAATTTTTATTTTTCATGTTTTTCGAGAAAAAATGAAAATGAGAGAAAAATAGCGTTTGACACAATTAAAAATAAAAAATAGAAATGAAAATAATTTTTTGGTTTAGTAGAAAATGAGAGATAAATAAAAAAATGTCTTTTAGTCGTTTTTTATTTTTTGTTTATGTTTTCTCCTCTCTCGAGTAGAGAGAGAGACATTAATAAATTTTTTTATACTGAAAATAATCTTTTAATAAAATTACTAAACTCATTTTTAAAAATAATTTCTATTTAAGTTTGAAATTATTTTTATTTTTATATAAAAAATAAAATTATTTTAAAATGAGTTTGGAAGGCACCAAAAATTCTAATTGATGCACTTTTGAAATTTAGTAAGATTAGCAAAGAACGTACAAAGGGAGAGCCTTTCTGCATGTCTGTCGGTTGAGAGCTTTTTTTTTGGCATGGGCTTGGAGCTGAGAAGCCCAAAAAGGGAAATGACATAGGAACAAATATAGGGAAAAAAATGGCGTCGCCCGGACTCGAACCGGAGACCTTCAGTGTGTTAGACTGACGTGATAACCAACTACACCACGACACCGTTGGGTGTTTTCATTTATTTCTCTTATTTAATTAAAAATAATTGTGTATTTATTTATTTATTTTTTCCCTTTTCGATAGTATTTTTTGTGAGATTTAGAAGGTTATTTATTGAATCAAAATTCCAAAACTTATCTCCTGGCCTAACGGAATTGTTTATTTTTGCTCCAACCAAGTGCCAGACACAGTTAGATAATTTTTATTGAATCAAAATTCCAAAACTTATCTCCTGGCCTAACGGAATTGTTCATTTTTGCTCCAACCAAGTGCCAGACACAGTTAGATAATTTTTTTTTCCACAGTTAAATTTTAATGTAATAGAAAACCAATCAAAAAATCAATCACATACAAATTAATAAAAAGGTCATATTTAGTTGGTCTTATATTACATTTTTTTTAATATATAGAATCATATTATATTACATTTGATGCCTACAAATATTATCTTCTTACAAAATTAAATTGCGAATTACTTGAATATAAATTCTCCTCTTATTTCCAGCTGGTACAAGAGCAGAGAAAAGAAAGTGCCAAACAGACTCATAAAAGGCAACAAAGTATGAAACCCAACAAAAGAAAGCAATAATAACTCAACTAAACTACCGCCAAAGCAGGTAAGCAAAGCATACATATAAAACTCTCTTCATCACATTCAAGTGTTTGTTTGTGGTAGTTAAGCAATTAAAAGAAAATGAAGCAAAATTCCCTCTTTTTTTTTAAAAAAAAAAAAAATTAAGTTTATTTTTATTTATTTGATATCATCGCCAAAAGTCTTGTTTTGGACTTGCTTATACAACAATATGTGACGGACTTTCCAACTCTTCTTTCAAAGCCAACAAACAAAAAACCTCTTGTCTTTGTTAGCTCCCGCTGTTCTATCACTGATAACACAAAGTTGTTCCACTTTCTTTATATGCATTTGAGTTTCTTCCAGTTTTTGGAGACTCAGAAAGGAGAAAAGAGGAAGATAAATCATGGCGTCTTTGGCCGGTTCTTCTTGTTCTTCTTCTGGTGCAGTGTTTAGAGCTAGAGAAGTTGGTGGCAATAATGGAGCTTTTTTGGGCCACTACAATGGACTTAGGCCAATGGAGAACGTGCATATGGTTTCTTCTGGGACAAAGTCAAGTGGGTTTGTTTCTACTTCTGGTAATATGATCATGTCAAGAATCAACATACTAGAAAAATATTATTTGTTAAAGTGTCACATGATCACAAAGCTTTTGAAACTAAAGTTTGTTTTTACTTTTTGTGTTAATGTTATGTAACTTCATATTATTGGTATTTTGTGATGAGTAACAAACCCATTCTTGGAATGTGAGAGATTTTCTGGAAACTGTTGTTGAGAGTTGAGAGCTTTGAGTAAGAGATGAGTTTAATTGCAATGTCTTCATTAAACTGACTTGTGGTCATTGAAAACTCGCCTTTTTCGTGTGTAAATTGTCGTTGGGCTATGTTCGGTAAGAGGGAAAGAAATTTAAGATCTCTCGCTCAATCCATTTTCTTCTCTTTTCTCTCCTACCCAAACAACCATAGTTTCGAAATCTATCAACTAATGCCCTCACTCCTCTCCCTCCTTTCACTTTTCCCTCCCACCAAACAAGCATTTAGTGTTGCTCTGTCAAAGAAAACTATTTCTTAATATGCTAACTTGGTACTAATATTATGGATTTTCCTTCTAATGTCTTGGCTAGTATTTCTATCTACCGCTCTTGTTATGTGAGTACTAATATTATGGATTTTCCTTCTAATGTCTTGGCTAGTATTTCTATCGACCGCTTTTGTTATGTGTTGTTGTTTAATGTAAGTATGGCTTTAATTTAGTTTCCACACGCAGCAAGAAAATGCAGAACAATCAAGGCAATGGCTTCTCCAACTGTTTCATCTCCCAAAAGAGAGAAAGATCCCAAGAAAAGAGTTGTCATTACTGGAATGGGGTTGGTCTCGGTTTTTGGCAACGACATTGACACATTCTACAACAAACTTCTCGAGGGAGAGAGTGGGATAAGTCCGATAGACAGATTCGATGTTTCAAACTACTCTGTCCGCTTCGCGGGACAGATTCGAGACTTCTCTTCCAAAGGCTACATTGACGGGAAGAACGACCGCCGCCTTGATGATTGCTGGAGATACGGTTTGGTTGGTGGCAAGAGGGCACTTGAAGATGCTAACCTTGGACATGAAGTTCTTGATACTGTTAGTCACATTGTATTTGTTATGTAATTCAACCAGTACTTTTTGTTAAACACTCATAATTGAACCTTTTTTTTTGTTTCTCTGCTTTGTGTCACAGATGGACAAATCAAGAATTGGAGTTTTGGTTGGAACAGGCATGGGGGGCTTAACTGCTTTCACCACTGGGGTTGAAAATCTTATCCTAAAGGGATACAAGAAGATATCTCCATTCTTCATTCCTTACTCTATAACCAATATGGGGTCAGCATTGTTAGCCATAGATACTGGCTTGATGGGGCCCAATTACTCCATTTCTACTGCTTGTGCCACTGCCAACTACTGCTTCTTTGCGGCTGCAAACCACATCAGGAGAGGTGAAGCAGATATCATGGTGGTTGGTGGGAGTGAGGCTCCAATCCTGCCCACTGGTGTTGGTGGGTTCATAGCTTGCAGGGCTTTGTCTCAAAGAAATGAAGAACCCCAGAAGGCCTCGAGACCGTGGGACAAAGATCGTGATGGTTTCGTCATAGGAGAAGGATGTGGTGTGCTGGTATGATTAATCCTATCTCTGAAAAATGCTAAGCCCTTTGTCAGAATATAAAATTATTATCGGCCCACCTCCAAATAACTTAAGCTTTTGGAATGAATTAGTAAACTAAAATGGTATCAAAAAAGAAAGTAATGAGTTCAAACTCCTATAATTTCACTCTTCACATCCTTAAGAATTGCTATCAGTTGTGAGGCCTTTAATATGCTTAGGATTTCTTCTTGTGTTAAGCTTTCTAATTAATATTTACCGTCACGTTTTTCCATTGTCTGTCTTACATGTGAGGAGGGGTGTTAGAATATAGAATAATTATTATCCCACCTTCTAATAGCTTGAACTTTTAGAATGAATAGGTAAATTAACACTCTTTTCTTCAACTAGTTAGAAATCAAAATGTAAGACTATGCAGGTATCAGAATTTGACATGTGAATTTGTGATTGGTTAAAAACATGCAGTGAGGATCACATAGAGTTGCTCCAACATCTAAAGCACCTTTCACTTCACTTCTATGTTGTAGTCCAATCATGTAGATACAACTTATGTGGTGCCTTTTGGATTTTACTAACTGATTTTTTTAAACTTGGAAAAGATAATGGAGAGCTTGGAAAGTGCAATGAAAAGAGGAGCAAAGATAATAGCAGAATACTTAGGAGGTGCCATAACATGTGATGCTCATCACATGACTGATCCTAGGCCAGATGGCCTTGGGGTCTCATCTTGCATAACCAAGAGTTTACAAGATGCTGGAGTTTCCCCTGAAGAGGTTAGTACATTTTTTTTTAATCTTAACTCTAATTAAAGATTTTGAATTGTGACAGTCTCATTTAAAGATAATTGTGTTGATGATTTACAGGTGAACTATGTGAATGCTCATGCAACATCAACTCTAGCTGGGGATTTAGCTGAAGTCAATGCAATCAAGAAGGTCTTTAAGGACACATCTGAGCTTAAGATGAATGGGACTAAGGCAAGAAAACCAAAAAGATTGAAGAATGATATTATACCATTAGATTTCGTGTGGGATTTTCTCATATGACCAAAATAATTTGATTTATACATTTTGTTTTTTGGGATCTAATTGCAGTCAATGATTGGACATGGTCTTGGGGCTGCTGGTGGATTGGAAGCAGTAGCAACCATAAAAGCAATCACCACTGGATGGCTGCATCCAACTATCAATCAGGATGTACTAAATTCAAGTCTCAAATCTAGTTATTGCTAAAATTTAATGATTTTGATTTCTAATGCATTTGTATCTCTTCTTTTTCACAGAATTTGGAGCCTGATGTTACAATTGACACAGTTCCAAATGTAAAGAAGAAGCATGAGGTCAATGTTGGTAAGTGATTTTCAACACTAAAAAAAATGTTCCAACTATAGAAGAAAATGAGTAATGTTCTACATTTTATGAAGAGAAAAAGAAAAAAGAAAAGAAAACAGAGACTTTTTGTGCTTATATTTCTTCTGATTTTCTTTGCAGCTATCTCAAATTCATTTGGCTTTGGTGGGCACAATTCAGTGGTTGTTTTTGCTCCTTTCTCACCCTAATAAAACCAATTCAAAGAAGTGATTTCTCTTCAAGTTCCTAGTTTTGGATTCATTAATTTCCGGATGTTACAATATAGAGGTCATATGCTCTCTAAGAAGTTTTAAGAGTTAAAACAACCTGGCCCTTTTCACCGTTTGCATTTTGATTCATCTTTTGTACAAGCTGAGATTGGAAATATTCTTCCTTTTTTATCAGTGAATAAAATGTTGTTTCCTCTTTTCTTTACTTTCCTTATGAACTCAAATCCTTATGGTTTTGGGGTTATCATATCAACCCCTCACAATATAGACAAACACAAACCATATTGGTTTTAAAAAATACTAAACTTACACTAAACTATGAAAATTGAAAACCATTGCAATTCCTAGAGATTCAAATGAAAATGAAGACAAAATATTAAACCAGATTAAACATATGAAATCTGACTAATGTTTCACCTTACACAACAATGGTTGGACCTAGTTTATTGTTGGAGTTTGATCATGTTCTTTGTCTGATTCTCTTTTTTCCACTGTCTTCTTTGTCTCTCTCTCACTATCTATATGTGTCCAGATACACTAAAGTAGCTCTAAGTGTAAAACAATCAATTAATGAAGTCTACTCTATGTTGGCTCTAAGAGAAATTCTTGGTTTTATATCATTTTTATTTTCTACAACCAATTAAATGAGACATCTTTAAGGTCTCTAAAATGCAGGTAGCTAAGCTTTATTTAGGCTTGACTTATAGGATTTAAGCACATAGAATCTTTTTTTTTTTTTTTTTCAAATTTTTTTTCAAACAAGTTGTTACTCTTTCGCTTCTTCCAAGTCTGCATATGACTTTAAACTAAAAAGAAAATAAATAAATAAAATAATGCCAAACAAACTAGAATACAAATACAAAGATGGTTACATAAACATTTCCTTAATTTGTGAACCGTTTTCCCATTAGCCCTCTTCCTAGGCGTATCTCCACCCTTTTTAACTTGAGATCTTTTCGACATTTGATAACAAAAGTTAATTGAATTTGGAGCATAAAAATTGGCATGTAACTCTTGATAAAGACCTTAGATGTAACTCTTGATAAAGACCTTAGACATGGACCTGTTAAATACATGTTATTTGCACTGACTATAAATGAATAATGTAATTAGAAGTGTATTCCCCCCTAAACACAGGAAAGGTGTACATGTATTTTTGTATATACACGTTATATATACATGTATAAATATACACTCATACATTGAAAAAAAATTTAAAAAAAACTGGGATATGTTGTAGCCATCATTGCAAGTGACCCATTTTATTTCTCTATGTAGATGGAATGTCACTTTCCTAAAACATAGTTTATAAGAAGGAAAAAAAAAGAGTGCTAAAATGAGAGATAAAGAAAAAGACCTTAAAATATGTAGCAACAAGACTTATTTTTGGTATACATGCCAATATAGTCTTTTGCAAGTTGCTTCACCACAGAGAGGTTCTCACAGAAGAAGCACGCAGAAAATTATAAATTTTTTTTTTTTTTTTTTTTGGTCACCGTATTAAGTTGCTCAACTCAACCTTAGGCATCTTATATGCACATATAGTGTTAGGCACTAAATTAAGATTAAGCTAAATTTTTTTATTTTTTTTTTTTTGCGCCGACACTAAAAAGTTTGTGCAAAACCCACTTGCATGGTGCTTGCAACTGTTCAAGGGCTAGTGATCATGATAAAGTACAGATAGGGGATTAGCCATAACTATTGAAAATTAATTAGGTTTAAATTTAATAAGTTTTGTTATCTCTTTTCATGTAATTGGAATAATCAAGGCACGTATTGTTGATACCTCATTGTAATGGGAATAAATTTGGATTATTGAAAGACATAAGGGATATTAAATCTTCGTTTTGGTTTTAAAAGATGAGGAAAAATAATAATAAATAAATGAGGGACCTTGAAGTTGAAGCATCATGAGGTTTACTAGCTAGACTTAGTATAATGTTCTGTTTGGTAATCATAGGAATATGCTTCTGAGATCCTGAGTCTACTTGAAGATTTCTGCAAAGTGATGAATTAACATAATAGCATCTAACTTGGAACACGTTTTCCTATTAATAAATGCAAATATTTTCTATTTATGTCCTTTTTTATTTTTTATTTTTTTTTAAGTTTGTGTTTTCTATTCTTGCTTTTTTCTACTTCCTCCCAATTTGAGCAAGTCAACTGATAATGGCAGAGTGGTACTAAAAAAAAAAGATTAGTCGTGGAACTCTTACAGCACATTCTTTAATTTTCCCTGCATGTTCTCATGATTTCGGTGGCTTTTTAAAACATCTTGCATTCAAAGTTATCAAACTCACAAATCATTTTTTTTAGTTGAAAGATTATAGAAATAAAAAGTGACGTGATCAAATAATTTCAGAAAGACATATATAGTACAGATCTTTCAGTTGATTATTCATATCACTCACTTTCCGTGGTGGGATCGATTGACTCAAATTAAGGTCTTATTGACGAGTAAAAACAATCATACTACCCTACCAAATGATCGGTGGTACATGAACATGCTTTGTGGTTCTCACCGAAACTTCAAAATTATGTTAAATGGATAAGTAAAATCATGGAGTTGAATGACATGCTAATCCCAGAATTGAAAAGCTTGAGAGATTCTAAGGTCAATATGATGTAAAGCCATAATGCAAAACTTCTCTGTAGAGGAGATTGAACTTTGAGCACCATAATAGGGCGTTTTGATTATATTAGTGGAGATCCATCTAGTAGATGACACTACTAAGCATATATATTCCCAGTTGAATAATTTTCTATTCATTAACTTTACTACCATCTCTCTCTCTCTCTCTCTCTCTCTCTCTCTCTCTCTCTCTCTCTCTCTCTCTCTCTCTCTCTCTCTCTCTCTCTCTCTCTCCTCTTAATCAAAACATTCTAATAACATCCTACTTGCTAGAGGAATTATGCCATTACCCATCTCAAATCAAAGTAATGCTGCCTAACAAGTCTTCAAAACCAAGTAGAATTTTTATTTATTTCGTAACAGAAGGCATTTGAGGTTATTATTGTCAACAATGCTTATATTGTTAATATTTGTACGAAAAACTATGCAAGGAAACAAGACTCAGAGATTATGAAAACAAGTTGGAATCAAAGGGATCTTAATTACCCACTAAACACAGATATTAATATTCTCAGTCTTCATTTAATGTCATCAATCTGAATTTGACCAAATTATAATCAAAATTAGCCCGAATAGTACGGTTCAACAACTAATTATGTTTTATCTTCACCATGTTGGTAGGTAAGTTAACAATATTAAACTCTTCTACCTCATAGAATATACAAGGAAAAATAAGGGCAGCGTTATTTTATAATTAACTCACCAATGACACTCAAATGTTCTGTTTAATAACTCATTATCAAGACAAACATGATGAATTTTTGATAAATATTCTTCTTCAAGATGCTTATGACACCTTTTGCTAACATCATGCTAATGCCATATTTCCATAAGGTTCTAGTGTTAGATTTTTTTTACTCCCACAAAATATGGTTACTATATAGATATATAGTTGTGTATCTATATACTTTATCCAATGAGGAATTTCCGCGGGGAATTAATCTAGAATTAACTCATAGCAGGATGCAGTTCTGATTGTAAATCATATTAAGCCTATCTTTCTTTATTCTTTTTTTTTTATTGAAAAAAAAAAGAGGATTGGAAGAGTGATTTTTCTCAAAATAATAAAGACTTGAATACTTGGTAAAACAAAATTACTTTGATTTCAACTCTAATAAGATTGACCTGAATGGATTCAAACATTTTCAAAAGTATATGAAAACAAAATACTCTGAGGTCAAAATTCACAATAATGAAATTCTAGGAAGCATGCCAAAAATTCAGACAGATATTTTAACAAAATGCTAGAAAATTTTCATTTATAGGCTATACAAGGGAGAGAGAAATGGTATTAACTCAAACAATGGAAGTTCCTAATTGAGGCTATTTGAGCACCTCTTATTACACCCAATTTTTTTTAAAGGGTAAGTTAGACACATATAATTGGGTTTAACTTTGAACTCTTTAAAAAAAAAAAAAAAAAAAAACAAATAAAATGTGTTCTGGTTATATAATTGTTGTAACAGTTTCTATGTCTGCAATGGGAAATCATATTTTCCCACCTTGAAGCTGCCAGGAAGCTCACCACCAGTTCATACTCTCCTAGTGTGCAATGTAGGTAGACCAATATAAACCTAATTTATGCACACACAAAAAAAATTGCCAACATGGGTTTCATTTGACCAATTAGAGAACAATAACATGGGATTTGACTTGGTTAGTCATGAATAATCCGAGTTGACCAATCTTATGGTACTAATATGACTTGCTTTTGTATGATATTAAACATTCAAATTAGGAGGAATCTTGCTTGGCTAATTAAATCTATAACTATGCTTTTCCTTTCTTGTTTGCCTTTTCCCTTAATGGGATTGCTTAGTTTAACAAATACATGGCTTATCAAATCACATCACAAACTAGTTGCACTATTCCCTATCTTATAATAGTAGTAATAGAACAACAACAAAATAAAGGAAATTGAACTAGTTTTAATTACTTGTGAATCAATACTCAAATGACTTCCAAGAAAGAGTAATCGTTACTTACTATAAAGACAAAGGCAATGAGGTGGTTAGATCTCAAATCAATATGGTAATTAGTGAAATGAAAATTCCACATTGGATTTATGTATTTTCCATTTGCAAGGAAAAAGGGGGGAGGGAAAAACAAAAGATGGGATGTGGGGTCCATTAGATCTTTTGTTTTGATTGGATTACAAGTCCACATCATCATCTATCAAGGCCTGAAAATAACAAGATCCAACGGGTGATAAAAGCCTCAAAATAAGTTCAAAAGGAGGTCAAAACTAAATATTACTACTACTTCTGCTGCCGCCCATGGGGGACCAACAATCTCTATTCAACTTTGTCTTACCATTTGCTGCAATGTGCTTACATGGAAGCAATTTCAAGGGTAGCCACCCTTCACCAAAGAAACCAAAAAGTTATCCCATTTGCCCATGATTGTCTTCACATGGAATCCAACCCAAAATGCTCCTTTCTTTAATGTTTTGCAAGGTATCCACCTAAACATAAACTAAACCTTAATTGCTATTCTTTTAGGAA